GAGTGAAACGTACACAATAACACAATAATCACTCAGGGAATTCCCGTACACACACAGCTGTTACACCAGTCACTAAATAATCAATATTATGCCCTTTGGCGAAACTATACAGTCACCCACGCTATAATTCTCTATATATGAATTACCCGTCTATAACACACCCCAGTAACATCGTCTTTTACTAGTATCGGTTACAGTACGGTTAGCATAGGTCAAAGCACAATTTAAGGTCACAATACAATTATTAGTGGTTACGGTGTTAAACATGCAATAGACGACAATGATTAGTACTTATATACAGTGTCAGTAAATATACAGGGTTATGGTACCGTGCACTATGATACAGCAACACACTATTAACACTCTCGCTAGACGGCTGAGCTCGCGCTATCTAACAAGATATACACTTTACTAACAATCTTTAACACATTTACAATCCCAACTAAACTATTGGCCAGAACCTTGAATGGACTACCTAAAACTATATACACCCGTTTTGGTTAGCCACACTGCCCAAACACCACATATAGCGAACTAGAGGGCGGAATTTACAAAATTGCCCTTCTAGTCTATTTACTCTATCAAAAGTCTAGTGGGTTCCAAATTTACACGCCTTCCCACTTAGCCAAGATAGGTTGAGAGCTAGCGAACCGAATTTACACAGGCGCCGCTTAGTCTCCCGGTCCCTCCGACCTAGCGAACGTAATATACACCCTAGAACGCTAGTCTAGACAAGACACCGGTGTCCGGCTAGGGCTATTTACACAGGACCCCGCCTGACTAACCAGATCAAACGGTCTTACTAAAGAGCGTTCGATCGAGCGGTGCGCCTTCGCTCCTTCCCTCCGACAGAGGGGGCAGATTCCATACACAGATTTAAACCCCTTTTGGGCCTACCGCACAATCGGTATACCCCTAGTGGGTCTGCCGTCTAAAACAGCAGTTGTCTTACCTCCTCGTTCCTGAACCTGAGTTCACACTCATCGACGGGGACACCCCAGCACTTCTTACGTAGAGGCCGATGATCTCCTGGACAACAGACCAGTGGCGCCGAGACGAAGGGAGGTCCACGCAGAAGTTCAGGGGTGCAGCCGTAGAGAACGTGGGCAAAGATAGACCGTCTCACGCCTCTGCCTCTCAGCTACCGTTGAACGATGAGCTTCCCGGCCAATGCACCAAATGATACCGGAGAAACTGACGGAAGCAAAGCACAGAGAGATGGACACAGGTTTCTTCAGGAAGGAAGAGATTCTTTATTGGATCACCGATCGGGACTCAGAGGGACTAATGTCACCAAAAATACAGCAAGTTCTGAGCCCTGAACAATAGTGCAGGCTCCCTATATAGGCACATAACTCCTCCCATATTAAGCTCCACCCGCACATTCTCTTGACCAATCATTACAAATAAGAATTAACTTCCTGCTTGACCGCATGGCTTGTCCAGCACAATGGAGGAGGGGAATACTACATCCTGTATTCTTGCACATGCTCCGTACACTACTGATCGATACGTCAGCATATGCACGTACACATGCCACGTGGTAATCTCGGCCTACTAAATTTATTTTTACCGAGATTCCACCACAGCGTTAGTATTTGTTTGTGTGTGAAAAATGCAAAAAACGCCAATTTTGGCCAGTGTTTGTGACTAAGTGGCTACTAAAAAAGACTGGACATACCCTGTTTGCAATACCTTGGGTTGTCTACTATTGCAAATGGTATGCCATCATAGGGGTCATTTTCATTCTTGGGCTACCATAGGGTCTCAAAGGCAATGTAACCAATCTGGCGAATTTTAATGTGAAAAAAATGAAACGCAAGCCTTATATTTGACGCTGTAAGTTTTGAAAACACCATAAAACCTGTACATGAGGGGTACTGTTGTACTCGGGAGACTTCACTGAACACAAATATTTGTGTTTCAAAACAGTAAAAAGTATCACAGCAATAATATTGTCCGTGTAATGCTGTTTGTGCGTGAAAAATGCAAAAAACATAACTTTTACTGGCGATATCATCATTGTAATACACTTTACTGTTTTGAAACACTAATATTTGTGTTCAGCGAAGTCTCCCGAGTAGAACAGTACCCCCCGTGTACAGGTTTTATGGTGTCTCGGAAAGTTATAGGGTTAAATATAGTGCTAGCAAATTAAATTCCCTTTACTTTCGGCATGGGTTGTCAGGCAGGTCCTGCTAATTGTAATTAATAAAGATACCTAATTATGTAAAAATAATACATAAATATATATGTAGAATTAATATATGTATATATATACGTAAGTGTATTTATATGTATATATCTATATAATTTAAAAAAAATATTTTTATTTATATATAGGTATATATATATAGTGATATATACGTATATATTTATGTATATAGATATATATATTATTTCGTTCTACGTGTATTTTGATATATATATATATATATTAATTTCACAATACAGTTAGAATGAAATAACACACATCTATATATTTTTTAATTATTTATTTTTAATTATTTTTTTAATTTTATTTTTTAATGTATTTACATTTTAATTTTTTTTATAATATATATAAATATATATATATAACAATAATTATATATATATTTAATCAGCATCAGTCTACGTGTAATTTGATATTAATATATATATATATAATTATATATATATTAATAGTAAAATACACCTAGACGGTGTACATGTGTGTATGTATATGTGTATATATATACTTAGATCATATATATATAATATATATATATGATCTAAGTATATATAATTTTTTTTTTACACTGATTAACTTATTTTAATTTTATTTTCAGCCAGCAGGGGGACCACCTGTAATTACAGGCAGCCTCCCTGCTGGCAATGCAGAAGCCAGCTATACCCGGCCATGTGATTGTGGGGTCCTCGCTAGGACCCCACTCTCACACGGCCGGTGGGCTTCCTGGAGGACGGACGTGCCGCGGGGGGCTCCCTGGGAGTCCCCCCCACCGCGATCGCCGGCGTGGGACCGCCGGCGACCGGGTAAGTACCGAAAGACCGGAGGGCGTACTATTACGCCCTGCGGCGTTTAGAGCCGCCTATTAGAGGGCGTAATAGTACGCCCTCCGGTCTGAAGGGGTTAAACCACTTTATAATCAGCGTGGAGTATCAGTGAAATGCACGGCAATCTATCTTGCAATGTAAAGTTAGAGTTACACCGAGGTTGGCAACCTTCTGCACGCCACATGCTGTGGACTATATCTCTTCTGATGCTTTGCCAACATTATGGCTGTATGAGTATTATGGGAGGTGTAGTCCACAATATCTGGAGTGCTGAAAGTTGCAGTGGCGAATCCAGAGCCTGATCTCAGCAGGGGCACTTGTAGATTATTTAAATAAATAATCCAGACACAATAACCACTACAGCTCAGTGTAGTGGTTATGGTGCCAATAGTGCCGGGACCCCCTCCCAGAGTAAGTAGTCAAACCATTTAAGAACAATTTGACAACTTACCTGAGGTCTGCTGGGAAATGGGGCTGTCATAGGGCATATGAGCAGTGGTGTGTGTGAGGGGTGCAGTGTGTGAGTCAGGGGGGCAGTGTATGTGTGGGGCAGTATGTGTGTGTGACAGTTGCAGTGTATGTGTGTATGGGGTGGCAGTTTATGTGTAGAGTAATGTGTGTATGGGGGCAGTGTATGTGTAGGGCAATGTGTGTATGGGGGGCAGTGTGTGTGTTTGGGGGGCAGTGTATGTGTGTGTGTAGGGTGTGAGCGTTTATGATAAGGCTGGGGGGGGCTTTTTTTTATAATATGCTTTTTAAAAAATGTGTTTAATTAAAATAAATATACTTTATGTCCCCCCTTCCTTCTTTCCTTTACTGGGAGGAGGGGGGGCATTTCTTAGTCCCTGGTGGTCCGGTGGGGATTCCCTGGTGATCCAGTGGTGAGGTGGACTCTAGCCCGCGCTCCAGGGCTAGAGTTCACTCTCGTGAGATTTGGAGCTTTGCCGTGGTAACCGCGGCAACGCTCCATGCTCACGAGAGTAGGACCCGGAGGAGCTGCAGACTGAGCTCCCGGGTCTTCTCTGACTCCCTTCCCCCCGCCGGCTGCCAGCATAGTGCCTGCGGACCGGGGAGGGAGATCTCTGATCTCCCCTCTGGTCCGTGAAGCACATTGCAGGGCTAGCGCCTGCATGTGCTGACAGGGGAGAGGGAGACCATCGGTTTTCTCGGAGGGGGAGGGGGGCAATTGCCCCGTTGCCCCCCCCCCGGATCCACCACTGGATGGTTGCCTACCCCTGTGCAGCCTAGTGCAATAGAAGAAAACTCTTTGCTGGACAGATACAGGTATACAATAAAAGGGATGGGTTAGTTTTTTGCTTTTGTATATATATGAATATATATATATATATATATATATATATTTATATATATATATATATATATTTATTTATTTATTTATTATTAATAATGGTGAAAAACACAAATTGCTGTCTAGGGTGGCAGCATTCTGAGATACAGTTCTGAGCTCTGGAATGTCACCATGTCCCTCAGTTTAGTCCTCTGGGTAATTCATACAAATCTCCCGACATATCCAATGGACTAAGATGTACACTTTCATTTTAGAGGAATGGCCAGGGTTAGGGCTGTTATTTTAGGCGACTTAATAATAATTCAAAGAAAATGTTATTTAGAACAAGAACAATGTATTTTTTACACGAACAGATTTGAACACATTGAAACATTACTGTGTACTGTAAATTATTGCTGTGGAGCTCTGATAAATTTACAAGCACCAAGTATTTTGAGCTTGTAGAAAAGAAAGAAATGGCGATAGAAAACAGGGACAGAGGGATTTGGTTCCAAAATAGCGACTGTCCCTCTTAATGTATGGTAATTTAATATTCGGGCATAGTGATGTCCCGAACTGTTCGCCGAACGGTTCACGAACGGTTTGCGAACGGTTCGCCACGAACGGTTCGCCACGGACTCATCATTGAGTAAACTTTGACCCTGTACCTCACAGTCAGCAGACACATTCCAGCCAATCAGCAGCAGACCCTCCCTCCCAGACCCTCCCACCTCCTGGACAGCTCACTAAGAATGCAGCTTCACAATGGATGCTGTCCAGGAGGTGGGAGGGTCTGGGAGGGAGGGTCTGCTGATTGGCTGGAATGTGTCTGCTGACTGTGAGGTACCTTTGGCACCCGGGACGGATCCTGATTTTGGCACCCCCTCCCCCAAATATAAAAAATGCCCAAATTTTTTTTTAAATGTTTTCTTTTTTTTTTTTTTTTTTTTATGTCTTGACAGATTTGTACACTTTGTAAATTCCCTGACTACAATACCCCTGTCTTGCCCCCTTCTACAAACCACTGCACCCCCTTTCCCCAAATCCCCTGCTCAGTCCCCCCTTGGAGTCTAACTTGGGGAAGCAGGGATTCCTTCTTGCTTCCCCTAGAAGAGCAGCAGTGACAGTAGCGGGTGGGAGCTGTGTTAAGCCACGCCCCCTGCCAAAGTACAAAATCCCTGCCCCACCTACTAAAACCCTGCACCCCCCCCCACACACACACACACACAGTCACATGCAGCAAGTCACACACACACACACACATAGCCATAAGTAGTGGGCAGAATACACTGACCCTGAGGAGTGGAAAAAATGGATGGAGAAGGGATAGAAACAGACAGGTAGGAATTCTCTACTAGTAAAAGAAAGCCCCCATAAAAGCTATGAGAGATAAATGAATAAAAGTAGGTGAAAAACCTACACGTACTAGGAGATCTCTTACCAGACACTGTAAATAGTAAAATAAATCGTATAAGAAATGCTCAAAACAGGACCTTAAAATAGCTCTAAAGTAGCAATAAGAGTCACTAATAAATGCATATAATGATAGAATGATAAAAATAAAAAAATGGGAAATGCAAAAAATGTTAATAGCAATATAGATATAAACACTAGGTGGCAGCCTTGTATAGAAAAAACGCTACATATAAAGTGACTCTTCCACTAAACAGCGAATATTCTTAGTAGTTAAAAATAAAAAATGAGAAAATAAAAAAACTGAGCATTAGCATAATAGCTGAAAATATAAAAATAAATAAAAATCAAGATGGGTAGTCCAAACAGCTGAATAGTCCCATAAAGTAAATTGTTAAATGCTCAGCAAATAATTTTTGCTGGCATATTCCACTTCATGTTTGTGAGTGTGTTCCAATTTTAATCTTACTTTGAATAAATGTGAAGTTTTATTGAAGAGCACTACCAGCTTTTTATTATTATTTGCCGAGCATTTAACAATCCTATTGCTATATACCTGTATATGGTGGGATATGAGTAGTTGCTATGTTCTGCTGCTTGATATTATACCAATATTATACCAATATTGGTTACATTATATCCACATCTTGACACGCTATTGCTACTGTTATTTCTATTGAGCAGAAGCATACTGTGTAGGATGTGATACTGGCATTTGTGCACTATAAGAACTGTGTTTGTTCAAGACTTCTTTGAACAATATGTGATATTTCCACTGCCTTGGACTTTATGGGACTATTCAGCTGTTTGGACTACCTATCTTGATTTTTTCCTGAATCTGAAATTTCAGAAGTCGAAAGCCACCAGGGGGAGCTGAGAGTGGCGCAGTGACATAGTTTGGAGGTATGATAAAGGAAATTGGCAAGGAGGGGAGTATAATTATTAAAGGGACACTCCACTGTCCAAATCCATAAACAACAATAAACTATATATATATAAAAAGTGTCTCGTAAATATACCTGTAAGAAAACATGCATGAATTTAGTTATGTATTTTTTTTTATTGGTAATTTCTTTACAAAAAGCTTGCAAAATCTGCATGTGGCGAACAGAACCTCGCCACGGGCTTCTGGAGGAGCCTGATTGACAGCCTCCTACCGAAAGACTATGGGCCCTTTAAAAAACTTATGTGAACAGACTTGGTTTGTGGGATTTTATATTTGGTTGGGGAACCGAACAGGCGCACGAATCATGGACCACCCAGAAGCTTGTTAAACCATATTAACACTTGGTAACGATTCTAACCACAGTGCTCTAATTGTTCGTCTGGGTGGCTGCTGTAACAATCCCCTACAATGTTGCCTGGGAACCTCAACCCTTTTTCCTGCTGTAACAGATCCCCTCTGTCGTCTTTCACTGGATCTGTAATATATGTGAACTAATCATTCATCTAAAACGTCCGTGTAAATTGACTGTAATGGACTACAATGCAAAATCCTGAATTATATACCGAACAACTAGACCACCCTGCAATGGAAGTGTGGCTTCAATTGACCTCCCTGTTCGTTTAATATCAGCTACATTGGAAATACACGAACGCTGTGCTGAAGTCCCTGGGTGGCCGCCATTTCAGGTGGCCATCTTAAACTTCCGAACAGCGGTGTTTGGTCGTTGAGTGTCTGAAACTCAAATCGGACACTCGACTAAGCAAACACCCCTGGGACCTCCAGAGTGCCAGAACCGACTGAAGGAAACTACCGAACGAGCCCCCTTCAGTAGAAAGACTAACCTGAACATAGAAACATAGAAACATAGAAACATAGAATGTGACGGCAGATAAGAACCATTCGGCCCATCTAGTCTGCCCAATTTTCTAAATACTTTCATTAGTCCCTAGTCTTATCTTATAGTTAGGATAGCCTTATGCCTATCCCACGCATTCTTAAACTCCTTTACTGTGTTAACCTCTACCACTTCAGCTGGAAGGCTATTCCATGCATCCACTACCCTCTCAGTAAAGTAATACTTCCTGATATTATTTTTAAACCTATGTCCCTCTAATTTAAGACTATGTCCTCTTGTTGTGGTAGTTTTTCTTCTTTTAAATATAGTCTCCTCCTTTACTGTGTTGATTCCCTTTATATATTTAAATGTTTCTATCATATCCCCCCTGTCTCGTCTTTCCTCCAAGCTATACATGTTAAGATCCTTTAAGCTTTCCTGGTAAGTTTTATCCCGCAATCCATGAACCAGTTTAGTAGCCCTTCTCTGAACCCTCTCTAAGGTATCAATATCCTTCTGAAGATACGGTCTCCAGTACTGTGTACAATACTCCAAGTGAGGTCTCACCAGTGTTCTGTACAATGGCATGAGCACTTCCCTCTTTCTACTGCTAATACCTCTCCCTATACAACCAAGCATTCTGCTAGCATTTCCTGCTGCTCTATTACATTGTCTGCCTACCTTTAAGTCATCAGAAATAATCACCCCTTAATCCCTTTCCTCATATGTTGAGGTTAGAACTCTATCAAATATTCTGTACTCTGCCCTTGGGTTTTTACGTCCAAGATGCATTATCTTGCACTTATCCACATTAAATGTCAGTTGCCACAATTCTGACCATTTTTCTAGTTTAGCTAAATCATTTGTCATTTGGCTTATCCCTCCTGGAACATCAACCCTGTTACATATCTTAGTATCATCAGCAAAAAGACATACCTTACCATCAAGACCTTCTGTAATATCACTAATAAAAAATATTAAAGAGAATGGGTCCAAGTACAGATCCCTGAGGTACCCCACTGGTGACAAGTCCAAGCTTCGAATATATTCCATTAACTACAACCCTCTGTTGCCTGTCACTCAGCCACTGCCTTACCCATTCAACAATATTTGAATCCAAACTTAAAGATTGCAGTTTATTGATAAGCCTTCTATGTGCAACAGTGTCAAAAGCCTTACTGAAATCTAGGTAAGCAATGTCTACTGCACCACCCTGATCTATAATTTTAGTTACCCAATCAAAAAAATCAATAAGATTAGTTTGGCATGATCTCCCTGAAGTAAACCCATGTTGTCTCTGATCTTGAAATCCATGTGTTTTTAGATGTTCATCAATCCTATCCTTTAACATGGGGATTCACACGAACACCAGGATAACCACGGATGAGAAGCCTTTTGGGATTTCTTATTCCGCGAACAGAGACCGGCCGCAAGGCCAATACTTATGGGACTGTTTTCGGCTACTGTTGCCTGTGTGGTCGGTCAAAACTTTAAAACCCCATAACTCCCGATACCCTGGCCCGATCTGGATGATTTTTGAATATGTTGCTTACCCAGATCAGGGCTTTCAGATATTTGGGGTACATCCAAAATTCAGGGAAACGTGTGTACTTGTTAATTATGTTAAATGCTTATCTAAGGGGAGGAGATGTGTGGGTTATACCTTGTATTTAATTGGTTATTGTAATAATTTTGGTCTGCATGTGTGTTTGACTGTGTGTGTGTGTGACTGTCTGCCTGTGTGTGTGTGTGGCTGTCTGTGTGGGCCTGTCTGTCTGTCTCCGTGTGTGTGGATGTCTGCGTGTGTGTGCGCATCTGCTAGTGAGTGAACTTCTGTGTGTGTGTGTGTGTGTGTGCGCATCTGCTAGTGAGGGAGCTTCTGTGTGTGTGCGCCTGCTAGTTAGTTTGTGTGTGTGTGCCTGCTAGTGAGTGAGCTTGTATGTGTCAATGAGTTTGTCTGTAGGGATCATGTGTATGTGTGTTAGTGAGCTTGTCTGTAGGAAGCATGGGTGTGTCTCAGCCTGTCTGTGGTGAGCATGTGTGTGCAGTGAGCTTGTCTGTAGTAAGCATGTGTGTGATCGTGAGCTTTTCTGTAGTGAGCATGTGTGTCAGTGAGCTTGTCTGTAGTGAATCTGTGTGTTAGTGAGCTCTTCTGTAGGGAGCATGTGTGTGTCAATGGGCTTGTCTGTAGGGAGAGTGTGTGCGCATCAGTGAGCTTGTCTGTAGTGAGTATGTGTGTGTATCAGAGTTTGTCTGTACTAAATGTGTGTGTGTGTGTACCAGTAACCTTGACTGTGTGTGTCATTGAGATTGTCTGTCAATAAGCCTATTTGTGTGCATCAGTAAGATTGTCTGTGTCTGCATGTGAGAATGCTTTACTGTATAATTTAGTTACCCTGAAAGGACTAATATTTTGAATTAGAAAAAGAAATATACAAATAATATATATAACACACACTACATAGCACAATGACTTATGGGGCAGGCATAGATTTTTTTCCATGGCTCCATATCCCCAGTCCGGCCTTTATTCCGTTTAACTTAAAAAAATATAACTATAATAGTGTCACGGTGCCACGGAAGAGGGAGGCGCCTCGCACTCCCTCTCTGGGGCCATGTGGGTCTCGGTGTTCCGGGGGTGAGGGATGCGCTGAGCCCTCATACCAGCCACCAGCAAATTCCACTGTTATTCAGCGACGTAAATGCAAATCGCGCTGCACTGGTTCCTCACTGCTGGCCCCTGAGGAGGAATGCTGAAAGCTAGCCAGTTAAGGGGCATGTGTGGGTGTAATATGGGGGGAGTGGTGTATATATAGGCGGGCATTTTGCCATCTCACCTCAACCATTCTAAAAATAATGGCCTCGTAAGAACTTACTGCTTCACTGCTGCCAGTAATTGCGTTGCTAGTGCTTAACAGACGGCCAGGGCATGTATGTTGAAGCAGTTCTTGCGGCCCTCCTACACAGTGGACGGCACCTGCAGGCTCAGCTGGAACGTCTGCAGGGTGCCGCCGTGGTTGCAGCCTCCTCCGTCGGCGGTGACGGCATACCACGTTCCCCTGCCTGTTTTAGTCCTTCTTGTGAGGACCGTGCTAAGGGGCAGAGCAGGAGCCCTGTTTCATGCTGCCCCAGCTCCCTCAATCTCATGGACCGGGCACCTTGCAGGTGCGAGTACTTCTGGGGCTGAGGGGCGGGGGCACGGGACTGGGGTAACTTGGTTAGGAGCATGAGGGGTTTCTTGGAATCATGGGAGCGTAACAATCAGGCCGTGTCTCGACTGCCCGCTTTTGTGGATAGCCAGCTGGGTGGGTGGTAGCCCTGGTGTTGTTGCATC